TATGGATTTTTTCATTTAGTAAACCATCAAACGATTTTGTTTTAAGCGTTTCAATTTTGTTCTCCTAAGTGTGTCATATGTAAGAGAACAACATGACAACTTCAAAGTAATGCACAATGTTGACGATCAAGAATATATATGCGTCTTAATTTTTTCTTATTCTATTTCCTGCTGGTGTTGTAATGACATTTAGCTGAGAAGAATGAATTGATGTGATTAGTTCGATTCATTGCTGTCAAAACTATTTTCTTGAAGTATTTTACAAATAAATTTCAAATCTCTTGTACTTTTCGAAAGATTTTTATTGTATTTATTTTATTTTAAAAAAATTCGTTTAATGCAATTATTTTCATTGTTTTAGATTCATTTACATATAGAGAAATGATTGCTACTCCTGTAAATCCAAACTCAATTGATGTACCATTGATTCAAAGTAAACATAGATGCTTTTCTGTTTGATATACATTTTAACATTGATCTCAATTGCTTCAATTTTTTAGCGGGATGTTTAAAATCAGAATTTAATTCAACATATCCAGCTCATCTTAATGGAATAATAACACCAGATGAATTTCAACAGTCAATTGAAAATATTAATCGAACAATCTCTTCAAGAAAACCTGTGATTATTTTAGGTTTCATTGCTATTTTATGTTTAGTTAGTGGAATGACATTATTTGTTGTTGGGGGAATAACAAGTGTGACTTCTCGTTCAACTGGGTTCCCTATAGTAGTCGGTATTGGATTTGGACTGTTCGGCTTTGGAGTACTGATTTTACCGATTGGATGTTGCATTGTACAGTCACACGTTACAGCTCGAATGCAACAAGTAGTTGCTAATGAATCGATGAAGTATTCGACGCGATCACCACCCTGTAGTTGGCGATTACATGTTTACAGAACTTGGAGTGGTGGATATGGACGTCGTCAAAGAACGGGACTTGTTTACCGTGTAAGTATTTTTTTTTGTGAGAAAAAATCATCAGCTCTTGTGAATATTTGGAGCAAATACATGGAAAAGTCTTTCATTAACATATTACAAACAACATAGAAAAAGTTGTATTTTCCTTTACATCATAATAGTGCTAGTACATTCTACAGGGAAAAACTCTTAAAAATAAAATTTCATGCATTTATATTAATTTATAAAGTGTTTTATTTTCAGTTAGTTATTGAAATTGGAAATTCTGTTGCTCCAAGAAGTGGACAAGCATTGTATCAATTCAATCAAGTTACTCCTCAGCCAGTATCATTTTTTCCACAAGAAAATAATGTACCACCTCCTCCTCCATATTACCACCAATCAATTGCAGGATTTTGTTCGCAATGTGGAATACCACGGTCGCATATCACGGCGAAATTTTGTTCGTCATGTGGCCATTCGTTCAATACATATTAAGCATTGTCGTGATTACTAGAAATCATCGACGCAATTAATATTCTACTAATTCGAACAGTTAATATCAAGCGTAGTTGTTATCTTTTAAAACTTTGCCTTATTTCTATTGTCTCAAGACTTCTTCTCCTCAAAATAAAAACTTGTATGTCTAATCAAAGTAAGCATCTTAAAATGATCTAAAAATACAGATACGTGAATAGAAGTAGTACATTATGCAAGAGAGACAATTCAATTTAAACGTTTTGACGAAGTACTTAGAGCATACCAAGAGTATCGTCGTTAATATCATATTATTCTATGGAAAGCTTGTAATACTAATTCCCTTCTATATTATTACTTCAATATATTACCATTCTTCATCGAGTGTTGTTATTTTTCAAAATTTTCAATGTAATTGATAAATCTATACTTCATAAAAAAAAGGAGAACTTTCGTTCTTACGTTCAAATACGTATTTTAGTTCATACTTTACAGAAAAAGCAACGTGCTGAATTATTGTCTACTTTCGATTTAAATTCTCTACATTTCGATACACTCAGAAAATGATTAACATGATTGCTTAAAGACATAAAAAAAGCGATCTAATATAGACTACCGCCCGATAAATCTGGAATGAAGATAACATTCGAAAATACTACACAAGACCTTTACTTCAGTAATGGTGATATTCATATTACATTTGATATAGTGCAGGTTTCAGCTGGTTTGTATTGTATAGCTATTGAGAGAACGATGAGCATGTTTGAATATGTATGAAAAATTCAAAAATTTTCGAACAAGAAACATATTGATTCTAAAATGCAGTGATAGCTAATAACTTTTAATTTTATCAGAAAAAAAAGGCTGCAATGCCATCTAATTAGCTAGCGAAGCATTGTTTTAGTCAATCATAATAACTTTACTCATAGTACTTTGCAACGCTTTTTGAACGAATCAGAAAACAAAGGTGGACTTATGTCGAACCTCGTTTACTAGAAGAAAGATACACACCTAGAACGATGCTTTAGTATTTCACGCTTTTGACGATTTCCAAATTATATCATCATCATTGAACTCTTGAAGCTTCATGACATGTGATGGTGGATTACTCGACGTACACAAATAAAATCTAATTAGTGAAAGAAATTCTGATTCACTTCAGGAAACGTAATCAATAGCAAGGCTTAATGAGCTTTATTTCCAATGTACTAGTAAGTCACAGATGTGAATAAAAAGTGACCTTACATAGTAGCTTATTTGTTACTAAAAGCGGGGTCTTCTCTTTCATTTTCTTTACCTAATCATCTTTCTAGTATAGGCTATCAAAATGATTGAAAAAGACGAAAGAAAGAAGAGAGAGAGAGAGTGCCTTTATCAACAGATAGGCTACAATTTTTTTCCAGATAAGTCAATATAATTAGCTGATTTATTTGTCAATAGTTAGGGGCAATAGTTTTAACTTTTGAAGAAAGAAAAATTTGATTGACTCTATCTTGTAGAGTTCTACTTGTAAATCTTGATACTTTTTGTAGGTGCTAAATACAATTTTGTTGAAATAGATGATGTTCTTTTTTATCAACTCATTTGATTTTATCATTCATTCGTATTAAAAAGTGATTTATCATACTCTAGAGGGAATATTCCTACCCACCCAAATACTTCGATCCCAATCCTCATATATGTGTTCCAGTCTACAGCATAAAATATCAATTTCAACAGTAGAGAGATAAACAGAAGAACAAAAGATAATTGATTAAAATCAATGAAAAATATTTGAGTGTAAATGAAGGCTATTGTTAACTATAACAGTATTAATTTGATATTTTTCAAGAAAATCCAGTTAGAATAATAACGGAAAACATTTTTGAATATATCTATGAAATCTCTCTATGTAGCTTTAATAAATCCATAAAATATGAAGTTTCAAGTTTCATGTAGTATATACAATATAATTCATGTATTATTAGACGTTATATAACAAGCGGCAAATCCTTCGTTCAGTTATATCGCTGATGTCCGATTTTTTCTAATCTAATCAAATCCGATAATCATCAAGCATAGAAATTACAATCACTGTAGCATGCTTCCAGCAGTAAGTATATGAAACTTGAATGTATGAAAAATTCAGATTGAAACAAATCTTGTTAGTGAACCATTTATTCAAGAGATTTCCATCACTTGTTTCAGTAAGAATTTAATTATCTCCTTATAATTAGTTTCAATTTTTTTCACAAAAAAATGGAAGAAGAGGTACATTGAAAATCAAAAGTTCTCTTCAACAAAAACAATCAATTGACTTTGAACCACATCCAAGATAAGTTAAGAATGATTTATGAATGATTGACATCTAATTGAATCCTTTTTTCTCATGTTTGTGTAAAATTGATAGAATAAAAGTATTAATGATATATTTATTTAGTTTAGCATAAAATATGAAAATAATAATGAAAGCTCATATGTCGGAAAATTACAATGAAACTACAATAAAGATGCATTACAAATATGATGAAAGACATTAGAATTGAGAAATTCAATTTAAATGTTAAAACTCATCTATTTAGTTTTCTTCAATTTCTTCAGAAAGTCGTTCTATCTTTAATTCTATAGTGTATCGATCTAGATGAGAGTATGGCAAGCATTGTTCATAAATTTTTAATGCTCGCTTATAGTGATCAAATGCTAGTTTCAATTGTTGAAGATGCTCATAACATTCACCTATATTGGACAAACTTTTACCGATATCAAGATGACCTGGTGGAAGAACTTTTTCACGTATTAAAAAGCATTTCAGTTCATATGCTAGAGAGAGTTCATAATGGCCATATGCTTGTTGCACTTCACTTAAACATGAAAGAGTTTCAGCAATTGACGAATGTTCTGGAGTTAGACTAACTTCTCTAACTTGCAAACATTTTTCATAATATTCAATAGCACGATCAAAATCTGATTTCGTATAACAAATAAAACCAATCCATTGTAGATAACGAGCAATTTCAATATGATCGGTAGGATAATATTGTTCATAAATAGTCAATGCTCGTTTATAGAACTCAAAAGATTCATCATACTTTCCTTGACGACTTAAACTACTTCCGATTAAACTGAAAATGACAGCAATATCTGCATGACGAGATGAAAAATATTTTTCATAGATTTCCAATGCTCGTTGATGGAATTCAACAGCTTCAGCATATTTTCCTTGACCTCTTCGGATGTTGCCCATATGATTAAAACTATCAGCTAAATTCATATACTCTGATGGATAATGACTTTCTCGAATATTCAATGCTCGCTGTTGATATTCAATTGCTTCGCCATACCTTCCTTGCTTATATAGAGCATTACTAATGTTACTAAGAGTTGTGGCAATATCTGCTTGACGTGATGGAGAATATCTCTCGAAGATGGTTAATGCTTGTTGATAGTAGTCGATGGCGTCATCATGCTTTTCTTGACTAATTCGAATAATACCCATGTGATTGTAACTAATAGCAATATCAACATACGAAGATGAAAAATGTTTTTCTCGAATGTCTAGTGCTCGTTGTTGATGTTCAAATGCTTCTTCGTACTTTCCATACTTATGTAAAGCATTACTAATGTTACTAAGTGTAGTAGCAATATCTATCTGTCGGGATGAAGAATATTTCTCATAGATTGCCAATGCTCTTTGATAAAAAACAATCGCTTCCTTAATATTTCCTTGAGCAATCAGAATGTTACCCATATGGTTAAGAACGGCAGCAATATCAGCATAAGCAGAAGGAGTATGAGTTTCTCGAATGTTCAGTGCTCGCTGTTGATAATAAAATGCTTTATCGTATTTTTCATATTTATACAGAGTATTGCTAATGTTACTAAGAGTAGTAGCGATCTCTGAATAACGTGACGGATAATGTTTCTCATAGATAGTTAGTGCTTGTTGATAGAAATCGATGGCTTCATCATAATTTCCTTGATTACTACGAATATTACCCAAATGATTAAAACTATCAGCAATATTAATATAAACTGAAGGAAGATGAGTTTGTCGAATGTTTAGTGCTCTTTGTTGATATTCAAATGCTTCGTCATATTTTCCTTGGTGATTAAAACTTCGTCCAACATTGCTGAGAATTGTAGCAATATCTGCTTGACGCAAAGGAGAATATTTTTCGTAAACTTCTAATGCTCGTTGAAAAAGTTCAATGGCTTCATCATACTTGCTTTCACCATAACGAATAATACCCATATTATTAAAACTATTAGCAATATGAGCATTATCAGATTTATAATATTTCTTCTGCAAATTAAGAGCTTTTTCATGATATTCGAAAGCTTCATTATATTTTCCTAGACGATAAAGAATTTTTCCAACATCATTAAGACTATTTGCATGATTAATGTAATCAGATGGATGAGATTTCTTATAGATTGTAATTGCTTGTTGATGATAATTGAGAGCTTCTTCATATTCTCCTCGATCACTAAGAATATTTCCGATATTGCTAAGACTATGTGCAATATTAATATTATCAGAAGAAAAATAATTTTCTTGCATTGTTAGAGCTTTTTTATATGAATCAAGAGCTTCATCATATTTTCCTTGTTTACTTAAATTGTTACCAATGTAGATGAGACTTTGAGCAATATGTCCATAATAAGACGGATAATATGTCTCTAGAATTGTAAGAGCTTGTCGATTGAAATCTAGAGCTTCATCATAGTTTTCTTTTCCATTAAGAAATATATAAGCAATATTATTTAAAGTACATGTTATATTTATATGACCCGAGAAATAACATTTCGTTTGTATGACTAGCACTTGTTGATGAAAGTTGAGAGATTCGTCATATTTGCCTTGTCCATATTTAATGTTCCCTATGTTGCTGAGACTGGTAGCTATCTCAATATGATCAGATGGATAATATTTCTTTTGAATTACCAATGTTTTTTGAACCGTATCGAAAGCTTCTTCATATTTTTCTTGTCGGTAAAGAACATCAACAATGTTATTAAGAGTAGAAGCAATGAAAACAAGT